TTCCAGCCCACAATGATAGGACTACAGACCCACAATCCCTCAGCTTTTCATGGTTGTGGTTCAGAAAACTGCATGTTTGATAGGGAAATGTTAAGGATAAGGGAGTGATCGCCTAGTGGTTAGAACAGGAGGTTTGTGTTCCAGAGAGGACACAAGGGGCCAGGTTCGTATCCCACAGATTGCCACTCTGGCTCCCTGAGCAAGACCCTTAGCCCCAGAATGCTCCCTGGGCGCTGCACAATGGCAGCCCACTGCTCCCTGTAAGGAATGGGGTTAAATGCAGAGGACAAATTTTGTTGTCGGGACATGTGCAATGACCAATAAAGATGATGATGTGGCCTTGCCAAGTATCAAACTGATCCATGATTCCTGGTATCCAATAAATAGGCTCCACACCATAGCATGGGAGACAGCCCATATCATGACACCGGTACCACCATGCTTTTCACTGTACTGTTGCTTGAACAGTGATTGGGTGTCTGATGAACTGCTAGGGACCCCTAAACCCTAAAACAACATCCTTGCTTTCATCACTCCAGAAGAGTTTGCTCCATTTCTCTTTAGGCCAGTCAGTTTGGTAAATTGTAACCTCTTTAGAATAAGTCAAATTTCTTACAGCAGGACTCTGTGGAGGTGTTTCGCTGAAAGCATGGCTTCATACTGGCCTCTTCTCGTTGTTACAGTACCCACAGGTAACTTTAGACCTTCTTTGATCACCCTGGAACTGATCAATGGCTAAGGCCTTGTTTTAGTTACTCTTCCATCCATTTCAGTGGTAGATTTCTGCTGTTTTTCTGGCATTTGTTGCCAATTTAAAGCATTTAAGATCATTTCTGCCTTGCAGGCTGTTATTTGCATTCATTATGTTTTTTTCTGTTTTGTTTTTTAGAAGGTATATCTACTGTAGTGATCCTTTCTGTTCCCCTCTCCAATCAGCTATTTTTGTTAAGAATGCACTATTCTTCTGAACCATGTCTGGAAGGACTCATTTATCTGAGATTTTCAGGGAGAAAAGCACTAAAACGAGCATGTGCAACATCTGCAGCCCTCTTTACCTAAATAAGGGTCTCCTGTTTGACACCTCCAAACTGCTGTCATTTTAAACAGTGCCTCTTGTAATCGATGATTCAGTTACACAGAATCAGCAGCATGCATGTTAATGTTGATTTTTTTTATTACTCTACTACAGTTATTAGTAAATTATTTTATTGAGCTGTTTAGTGATGTTGGACTGCTATTATTATGATCACAACTGCAGATGATGCCTGAAGGTTGTTATGGAGATTTGGTTCCCCTACCAAGATAATCCTGGGTCCTCTGCCCACTTGGTTTCTCACCATTTTAGTCATTTCAAACATTTTACTCATCGTTCTTAATATATCGGCAGTAAGTAGCTATCAAAGCCATTTACTGATTAAAGATCAACACCCATATATTTACCTTTCTTTCATGTCATGCTTTCTTGTCTTTCTCATTTTGAGGAGTTTTGCAGAGAAATGGTTCTTTGTGTCACATCATATTTATACCCCAGGGAAACATTGAGCCGCGGATTGCTGTTTAAATGTTCCAAGAGTATAAACAACAAAAGGCTTAAGTTTATTTCTTAAATTTATAGGAATTGGTAGGGGTGCTACTAATTGTGGCAATGGTGAATTTATTTTGTAACCTTGGATGTTATTCCCCACTGAATAAATACACTCAAATAAAAAATTGGATTTTCCTAAAATTGTAAGATTTCAGCACTGCAATATTTCTTTTTGGTTTAAGCTGTTTTTAAACACTTCACTCAACTGTGGAGAGTGCTGTGAAGAATTAGAGTTGGTATTTTCAAGAGGAAAAGGTGCTCAAATGCTTTAAACACTCGTACTCGTACTCGTCGTCTTCCGCTTCATCCGGGACCGGGTCGCGGGGGCAGCAGACTCAGCAGAGACGCCCAGACGTCCCTCTCCCCAGACACCTCTTCCAGCTCCTCNCTCTGGGGGGAGCCCCAGGCGGTCCCAGGCCAGCCGAGAGACATAGTCCCTCCAGCGTGTCCTGGGCCGTCCCGTGGGCCTCCTCCCGGTGGGACGTGCCTGGAACACCTCCCGAGGAAGGCGTCCAGGAGGCATCCGGTATAGATGCTCGAGCCGCCTCAACTGGCTTGTCTCGATGTGGAGGAGCAGCGGCTCTACTCCGAGCCCCTCCCGGATGGCCGAGCTCCTCACTCTATCTCTAAGGGAGCGCCCGTCCACCCTAAAGAGGAAGCTCATTTCAGCCGCTTGTATCCGGGATCTCGTTCTTTCGGTCATGACCCAAAGTTCATGGCCATAGGTGAGGGTAAGAACGTAGACCGACCGGTAAATTGAGAGCTTCGCTTTTCGGCTCAGCTTTCTCTTCACCACAACGTACCGGCACAGTGCCCCCATTACTGTTCCCGAGCCCACGCTATGCGTGGAGGCGAGCTCGACTATTTCTAGTCGATATATCTCGACCTCCCGCACCAGCTCAGGCTCCTTGCCCCCCAGTGAGGTGACATTCCACGTCCCTAGAGCCAGCCTAAGCATCCGGGGATTGGGCCGCCGAGGTCTCCACCTTCGTCCGCCACCCAATCCTCTTTGCACCGGTCCCTCACGGTTCCCCCTGCAGGTGGTGGGCCCACTGGGGGATGGTCTCGCGTCTCTCGTTCGGGCTTGGCCCGGCCGGGTCCCGCGAGGAGCAACCCAGCTACCAGGCGCTCTCCGACAAGTCCCGACCCCAGGCCTGGCTCCAGGGTGGGATCCTGGCTCCGCCGTACCGGGCGACTTCAGGTGCCTCGATTTCGTAGTCGTCACGAGGGGTTCTTGAATGGGGTAGATGTATGAACACTAAAACACAAAAGAATAAACTAATAAGGAAAACACCTAATAATAAGCATAAGGAAATGAACTGAGGAAAGAAAGACATAAAGAGCAAAGTAAACAGTTTATTTTGATCAAAATACACAAAAATCTAAAGTCAAAGATGTACGGATCGTATCACCTTCAGGTTTAGGATTTGGGCAAACTAAATCTCTAAGTATTGCAGGAATACCATATTGTCAGTGGATTGGAGAGCCCCAAATATTCACATATGATGTTGTCAGGGGAACTCATTTATTTTAATGAGGAGCCAAGTTTCCTCTGGTCCTGTCCTGCTTTTGTTTTTATTAATATTCATGTTCGACCTCAGTGGTTAACATTTTCCATTAGAAGGTCCCAGAACTGTTCTGAGACAGGGGAGTGAAGTAAAACATAGAAATGCATCCAAAATAAAGTCTTGGCCTTCAGGCCAAACAAAGTTGTGTGCATTCTAATATCTCAAAATCTCTGGAATATTTTAGAGCTGGATGTATGTGACTCAAATATGTCCTTAAAGAGATCTATTTTTCAGTCTATCTTGAATTCACACAGATCTACAAATGCAGTTCAAGCAACACAGATTTTAATAATGCCGGCAAATCAACTGAACTAATGAGAGCACAAAACTCCTACGCACATATGGAAACAAGTTTCCTGAACATTTAGCTGTCTACAGATGACTTATTAAAGTCACCTACACAAACACACATTTGGATTTCCAGCAGGAAGTTACTGACCCTTTGCAGGCAGAATAATGAAGCCAGTCATTTAAAGGTATTAAAAAAAAAAACTGTTTTAGCTTTGTTCTAAAGCTCATTATCCCCGTGTCACCAACTTCATTTATCACAATGTATATGAGGGCTCTACATCAGGTATACAATGAGACTCCTAAAATTACCAGCACATCTTCTATATACCCACACTAAAGATAACGGTTCTCAGATTGTTGTTCTTCTCAACTTTGTTTCCACCCTGAAAATTCTGGATATTGTTGAAATGGGATTTTAGTGTTTTTCAGATCTTGATACTGAAAAAAAGAAAATAGAGTGCATCCAGATCTTTCCTAATTCATTATTTAACCCTTTGTAATTAATCTTTTAAATCTACATCAAACCACAACACAGCCAAGTTACCTACTGCATCCCAATAATGCCTGTTGATGCATATTACAAATGTACAAAGGAACATATTTGATTCACTTTGCTTCTATCTTGTTGTCTGCTATTTTTAAATTCACAATATCTGCTGCATTTATTCTTTTTGACTGCAAAAACACAAACTAAATGTAATAATAATGGGAGGTAGTTGTTTTTATTACTCCAAATTCAAAAGGTTACATACAAGATAAGATTATTATATCATAGAACAAATAGGAAAAAACCCAGATGATGATCTCATGGATTTCTACGATTCTGACCAAATTAAACAGAGAGCTGAATGAAGGCACTCCTGTGAATGTATTTTAAGGCAAAACCTCAAACACACTGCTTCTTTGTTCCACCTCTCAGACATAAACTCAAAGGCCTTGGGAAGATGGTGCTGAAGCTTATAGATTGGCATGATCCACAGTGAAATGACTCCTGTAGCAATGCATGCTGAAAGGCCACTCAGTGAGGAAGAAGCCATTATTCCAAAAGACACACAAAAAGCCTGATTACACTTGCAGATGCACTTAGGGTTGATGGTTTAATATTTGAATCTGATTAAACTAAAATCAGGAGTTTTACAATAATGAGCATTGTTCATTTTGAGGGAAAAAGAACAGATTGGTAACAGAGGAATTGTTAGTGGACTTCAGTGGCTTGCTCCATTTATCAGCAGCTCTACCCCTTCTGAACACTGGCGGACATCAGCGAGTGAAATAAAGAGACAAGGAAATGTGAATACTGTAGGTGACCCTGTGAATGACCTGAAAAATGCCACCTCTTGGGGGGTTCCTAATGCTACATCTGTAGCATAAGGGATCCCCTTCATATTCACGGGATGTGTTTCCTCCCTATTCTGCCCAATGCATTTATAGTGGGATTAAAACATCCCCCAAGAGTAATTTCAGGTTTTTTTGCAGCACTAGACAGCTTTATTTTTTTAATTTTCAACAGTAGGTAGAGAGGAAAGAGGGCAAAGAAACGGGGAGACATTTGGCAAAGGTCACCAGGTCCAGGACTCGAACCCAGGATGGCCACATCGAGGACTATAGCCTCTGCACATGGTTGTGCGCTTAACCACTACACCACCAGTGCCACGCCTCCCAAGACTAATTTCTAATAAAAAATCAGACACAATTTGCTAATGATCTGTGTATTTTACAACAGTGTCACAGATCAAGGATCAGAACCTTGAAATGTCTCAGATCTTAACACAAATGAGAACCTGTGGAGAGTCCTCTTTAAGCAGTTGGATAAACAGCCAACCAACTGGGATTAGACTATTAGTAACTACTCTAATATAATGATTATTAACTAATAGGGAAAAAGCAACTCATTGACTCTAACAGCTTAAAGAGAATTCTGAAATAGTTGGGAAATATTTTTTTTTCTTTACCTCATGGGAATGTAACTTTATCAAACGGTCAATCTCTTTTAAATACAAAAATATGAGCTTAATGGTAAGTATGTTTAATACCTGCTTAAAAGTTATTATTTTCAAAAGGTACTTGTAATCTGATAAACGAGCCTCATCTGAAAGCATTTTCTAATTCATTGAATATTACTGTATATACGAATGTTCCATGTCATTCTTTGTGTGTTTCTTTTTTGTTCCCTTTTTTTAACATGTTCTGTCTGGCAGAGTAGCACTCAGAGTTGTATATATATATAAAAACTTTATTTGATACTGCTTTGGGATTATTTCAATTGTAATGGACATGGAGAAGGAAACGGAAAGGAAAAGAAAGAAGTTAGAAAGAGAGAGAGATCAGGCAAAAAGGAAAAAGGGAGAGAAGGAGAGAATAACAGAGGAGAGAAAAAAGGATGAAGAGAATACAAGATACTTGAAAACTGCTTCTACACCTGCAGAAACATATATAACAGCAATGTTACTGAAAAGTGCACAGTATTAATGAATGCAAGATGTATGTGGTGGTAAATATGTGTATCTGTTAACACCTGAATCCGAACACCTGTGGGTGTAAATGTGAGCACTCTTGTTCTTCATAGAAATATGCAACGAGTGTGAGGAGCCACACTGCCCCTCTGGACCCAAGACAGACATGGAGATCTGAGCCACAGACATCCAAAGGCCCCCCAGAGCACAGGAACCCCAGGAGGACCACCGACCAACTACTGCAACCCCCCCCCCCCCCAGAGAAGAGGAAGAGGAGAGCCCCAGGGAACCACCCAGCCCACCCAGCAGCAACCACAGTGCAGAAGCCTCATGGAGTTGCAGCAACAAGCCCACAGGCTCCGCCGGCAACAATCTACGCTGGAGCAGATCCAGCATATTCACACAGCGCAAGATCCACACAGGGCCACACTCCAAGCACCCCTGCCGCATCCTGCCCTCCACCACACAAGGTGCCGCAACGGACCCCCCGACCGCACACCAAGACAGGACAAACTCACCCAGCAAGAGGTCCCGAGCCGATGGCACGCTTCCGGGGCCAGCGGCACCCACCATGCCCCCGCAACCACACAAACACACCACATCACCACCACTGCGACAGCCCAGGGAGAAATACCAACCAGCTTTGCTCCACCATCACCGCTCGGCTGATCCAAATACCGGTGACCACACATCCAAAAAGAGGACACAACCCCTTTGTGTGTTTCTTAATGCTACACAAGGATAACATAACACCTTTCCGACTATTGATGAATTCATCTTTTAGAATAATAAAACCAAACTTATGAACCACTCTGTCTCATTGTCAGCAGTCCAGCTGACAGCTTTAGCTGTGGCCTTAACATGACGGCATAGCAGCATAATATATTTCTTACTTTGGGTAAAAATTACTCTTCTGGTAGAAAAATTATCACAATTACTTTGTATCATGGACATCCCATACTGGACATAATGATCAACACCCTGAATTGTTAGATATGTAGGCTTCCATTAAAGGGTTACGGAGAGTTGCATAAGGGGCTAAAATTGACTCATTGGTCCTTCTAATGTTAAAAATAAGCAGTTTTGGAACATTTGCTGTGTGTGAAGGTTGTTAAAGGCCAAACGAAGGTGATTCATAATAAGCTGCAGTGACAAATGACCCATCTGTAGATATGTTTTGAGATGACAGTCCACTTCTCATTGGAACAACAGCGTCCAATTCTTAAACCCAGTTGGTCTCACTACGCCCTCCATCTCCAGCTATAGCTCCTGAATGCTTTTTCAGATTTATACCAGATTAGCACAGATGCCTTTATATTTTCATGGCCCTGGGCTCTCTCAGCTTCGGAAGCTATTGTAGGTCAGCTAATTTGGCATGGACAGATGCACAACTTTGTGATGAGGCGCCCTGGGGCACAAAGCCCATTGCCAAGTTTGCTGAGGCATCAAAGTGTCTTGAATGGGCACATTTTCCAGGTCAGGGTGCCTGCAGCAAACATTCGGGAGAAAACACGTTGATCACTGACATTTGTGTGAATTCATCAAAACGGAAAAAACTGGAAGGATCGAGATGAATTGAAAATGTACAATGGGTGGAAAAAGATGTAACAGCATGTAAAACTTCATCATAATCCCAGTTATAATACCTCCTATAAAGAGCAGACTGAGAGGAAATATGTTGCTTTTAGAAATTTGTCATTGACTTGGTTTTCCTTTATGTTACGACCTGAAAACTTTCTAATAGTTCATCCATCTTATGTGTAATTATTTGGGAAATCCTACAGATATATTCCCAGTAGCACTTCCACTGATACCGCCTTTCTTATACAAGGGACAGGGCACAGCGAAGAATGCATACAAATCAGTGCTGCTGGATTACTGTACAGAATGAGCCTTCCGCCAAATTCACTGCTTATACAATAAAACCATAAATCCATCTTTTGGCTTCAGTTCCCAGAAGACATTACTCCATTCCACACATGTTGCTTTATAATTTTATTTTTCACCTTGAAGAACAAATTAGAAAAGCTGTAAAATAAACACAAATATGACTTATCTCGGTGGGCTGCACGGTGTCGCAGTTGGTAGTACTGTTGCCTTCCAGCAAGAAGGTCCTGGGTTTGACTCCCAGCCGGGGGTCTTTCTGCATGGAGTTTGCATGCAGAAAGACTTGTCTGTTAGGTTAATTGGTCTGTCTAAATTGCCCTTTGGTGTGTGAATGAGGCAGGCCACACCAAGCAAGGTTGTTTGTATGTTGCCCTGCAATGGACTGGCGACCTGTCCATGGTGTACCCTGCCTCACACCCATAGACTGCTGGAGACTGCTTCCCCATGACCCACTATGGAAGAAGCGGTATAGAAATGGCCTATCTCAAATAGAAATATATTGTGCATAGCAACAAAATACACTCCAAATACACTTGATCACCAAAAAGGAACAGTCCCTTTAAATGTAATTTGATACTCTTGCAGTAAGGATGTAAATGATTCGATTTACAAGGAGTTGTCTACAACAGGCAGGCCACACCAAGCAAGGGTAGTTATTGTTTAGAAATCATTATGGAACCCCATGGCATCAGTGCCTACTGTGTACATTCGGGTAGTTGACTATTTACAATATTGTACAGGTCCACCTCGCTCACGTCTATGGTGAATACTCCAGAATCACCTATTTTTAATTTTATTTTAATTTTGATTCAATTAGCAGGACCTTTTAAACTTTTAGAATTTTAATTATTTTGTATTTTTTTATTCATGGGCCTTTTTTAATTTCCCTTCATCTCCATGAGATACTTTTACCATTAGCTTTTAGTTAATAGTTTAAAAAAGCAACTCTAAACAAATGGGGTTTTAATCTTGATTTAAAAGAACTCAGGGATTAGTGGAGCATAAGAACTGAATGCTGCTTCTCCATGTTTGGTTGTGGTTCTGGGGATGCAGAGTAGACTTGAACCAGAAGATCTGAGTGGCCTAGAAGGTTGATAGAACAGCAATAGATCTTTAATGTATTTTGGTGCAAAGCCAGTCTGTGACCTAAAATAACAGAAGTATTTTAAAGTCTATTCTCTGAGAAACAGGGAGCCAGTATAAGGACTTAAGAACTGGGGTGATGTGCACTACTTTCTTAGTTTTAGTGATGACGCTAAAACTAAGCAGCAGCGTTCTGGATCAGCTGAAGCTGTCTGATTGACTTTTTAGCCAGACCTGTGAAGATACTGTTGCAGTAATCAGCTCATTCTCATTGTCTTCCACTTCATCTGGGACCAGGTCGCGGGGACACCAGACTTAGCAGAGATGCCCAGACTTCCCTCTCCCCACATAGTCCCTCCAGCGCGTCCTGGGCCGTCCCCTGGGCATCCTCCCTGTAGGACGTGCCTAGAGCACCTCCTGGGGGAGGTGACTCCAGGGGGCTGTGCCTAGAAATCCTGTCCATGAAAGTAAACAGGATCGGTGACAAATGGCAGCCCTGCCGGAGTCTAACATGCAACGGGAACAGGTCTGGCTGAGTGCCTGCAATGCAGACCAAACTCCAGCTCCACATGTACAGAGAGCAGCTGGCCCCTAAAAAAGAATCCCCAACTCCGTACTCCTGGAGCACCACCCACAGGGCACCATGAGGGACACGATCAAATGTGTTCTCCGGGTCTACAGAACACATGTGGACTGGTTGGGCAAACTCGCATGAACCCTAGAACACCCTGTAGAGGGTAGAGAGCTTGTCCAGTGTTCCACAGCGGGACGAAAACCACACTGCTCCTCTAGAAGCCGAGGTTCGACTATCGGCCGGACTCTTACCAAGGAGGCTGAGGAGTATGATCCCCTTGTAGTTGGAACACACCGTCCAGTCCCCCTTTTATGAAGGGGGACCACCATCCCGGTCTGCCAGTCCAGAGGCACTGTCCCCGGCCACCACGCAATGTTGAAAAGATGTGTCAGCCACAACAGCCCCACAACATCCAGAGACTTGAGGTACTCAGGGTGGAGCTTATCATTTTTGCCTCTGCCAAAGCATGGGCGGTGCCACGCTTGGCCTCATGGTACCTGTCAGCTGCCTCAGGAGTCCCTCAAGCCAACAATAGCCGATATAAATCTTTCTTTAGCTTGAATCCCTTACTGCTGGTGTCCACCACCGGCTTCAAGGATTTTTGTGACATTCACCGCAGAACTTATGACCACATCTACGGGCGCCAGCATCGAC